CTACATCAATATCGCACGCATACATACTCACAAATTGTCGGTAAAACAGCGGATTTTTGGAGTTTGATCTAGGGTTTAGGATCCTCTTAAACTTTGTTTCTAAAATACAAGGTGTTAAAATTGAAGAAAAAGAATGAAAATTTGGATGGGAAACGCTTAGAAATATTTTATTTAAATTTGATATGCGTTTATATGTAGTATTAAGAAATATTTTCTAATCGATGAAACATTTTTATATCAACTACTGACATGCGTATATAGGTAATTATATTAATTATTTAAATTTTAACAAAACAATTTAAAGTATATGTTTATATACCTTTATTTTTAAAATAAGTCAAGGAATGTCCCCTTAAATTTAAAAACTTACTTAGGAATCACTCTATAATAATAAAAGTATTATTGACTTGATTTTTTTATATATATAACAAAAATAATAACCTGTAATAATAAATGATATTGATGTTCAAATTACAAGTTAGTTGTTCTACTAACACGTATTATTTCTGAAAGAAAGTCAAAGTTGGAAAACTATATAAAATTTTATTTTTCAGGTGACACACGAGCCAATCAAAATCCACAACTGACAATTTTGCATATCATGCTGCTCAGAGAACACAATCGCATTGCTGATTATCTGGCGCATTTGAATCCTCACTGGTCTGATGAAACGATATTCCAAGAAACACGCCGGATCGTGATTGCTGAACATCAGAATATCGTGTATTACGAATGGCTGCCGATCTTCTTAGGTTCGAACAGTGTTAATTTCCCCGGGAGTTTTCAGTATTTTTCAAATTTTAATTACGAAATCTAATTTAATTTAAATTACAAGTTTTTAGCGATAATCGTGCAAGTTTCGCTCGTTTGAAAGCGATGTAAATCCGATTTGGAAATCTCAGATACAAATTTCAATTTCTGCGATGCACAATTATGCACTTTGTTTAGATTCGGGCAATGTCAATTTCTCCGCGAGTTTTCAGTATTCTTCAAATTTTAATTACAAAATCTAATTTAATGTTTTGTTACAAGTTTTTTGTGATAATCATGCTAGTTTCGCTTGTTTGAAAGCGATGCAAATCTGATTTGGAAGTCTCAGATACAAATTTCAATCTTTCTGCGACGCACAATTATGCTTTTTTCTCAAATTCGGACAATGTCAATTTCTTCGCGAGTTATTTTTCAAATTTTAATTACGAAATCTAATTTAATGTTTGTTACAAGTTTTTTTGCGATAATCATGCTAGTTTCGCTTGTTTGAAAGCGATGCAAATCCGATTTGGAAGTCCCAGATACAAATTTCAATCTTTCTGCGACGCACAATTATGCATTTTTATTATTTGTATTATTTTATTATTTACGACTTGTGCAAGATTTATTATAGTAATAATTAATGTAATATATTGCAGGTGTAGGACCAGTCTATGATAACAAAATCATTTACGATACTCAAGATTATGTGAACGATTACGACGAAACGATCATCGGTAACGTGCTCAACGAACACTCGAATGCGGCCAGTCGATATTTCCATTCAAATATTGCCGGCTTACTCAAGTGAGTATTTAACACGCGCGACTTTCGTTAATGCCTGTCATTTCAATATTATCCTCGATACACCGCGTCTGATCACATTAAACATGTAAATCGTGTCGATTATATGCAAATTATGATAAATACAATGCCACCTGCAGGTTTTACATGAATTTGCAAGTCAAGTTTCTAGAATAGATATACCGCTCGTCTTCAATTCTTTCATATCTTTCATTTGTCTCGACGTTAATCCATCTTCCTCGCAAGACAATCGTGCAATTAAATTAGCGACGGTTACACGTTACTTAAATTGATATCGATCGAGTGAGCACGAACAATCGGATAAACATGAAACATTCATGATCGTAAACGTTTCTATTAAAATAAAAAATTTCGCTTGTCAGCTTAGTGTCGGAAGATCGATCCCCCTTTGCCGCGGTGAGATTGAGCGATCACTTTAACAGACCCGGCATCATCGAGAAGGGCAACAATCTGGACGCTTTGACGAGGGGTTGCGCGCATCAACCGCAAAAGAATACCGATGTGTATTTCGATAAAGAGGTATCTATTATACATAGGACAGACACGATTGATAACAAAAATAAATTACTAAGTATCAGGATAGACCGTTAGTGTTAAATACAAATTAAGAAATAAAAAACGCCAATACGGTCCAAGCGGATCTTGCTGCTCGATAATACAGTGGAACGTCGATAACTCAAACCTTCATAACTTGAAAACCTCTATGAGACAAAAAAATTTGTTCATCCCCTTCCACTCCGCTGCGGAAAATCTCTATAAATCGAAATAAAATCTACCTTAACTCGAATTATTTGTCAGGCATTTAGATATATATT